CGGCTGCTTTTGTGGACAAGCTCAAAATCATTGTGGTTTGCATCTACCATTCTCCAGCATTTGATCATGTGAAATTACTCAGCTCATTAGAGACTCTACTGACCTACCTATCCAAATGGGAGAACTACACCATCATAGCCGGCGGTGACCTCAACGCAGATTTCGATGTTACTTCTACCAGGGCTACTGCCGGTGAGTTTCTCAATCTTCTTCGACAGTTTAACTGCTACTGTTTGAACTCTAATCCCACTAGAGGTAATAATTGCTTTGATAATGTTTTTGTTAATTGTAGTCGTGAAAAGGTAGTGTGTAATGTTAAGGATTTTCCTTTTTCGGATCATGCTGCTTTGGTCGTTGGTCTACAGACAATAGATCGATCCAACAGATTAGAAGAACAACCTATTTCTTCTGTCAGACAGTCATCTTTTAAATTAGTGAGTGATGCCCAAACAAAGCATTTGTAATCTGATTGAAAAATTGAATCTTGTCAACTGGTGTATGCTCTCACCTCAATATTTTTGCAATTCATCAACAATGTTTACATGTTTCTTTTCAATTTTAGTTAGTATATTTCAGTATTTTCAATGTTTAAAACCTTGTAGGCCTACTCCTAGGTTTAGATCTGCTAACACAAAATGTGTTTGGTACACACAAGAACTAGCTGCTATTAAGGAACAGCTCCTTTCTCTTGACTTTCTTTTTAAAAGCACTAGCAGCCCTATTGTCAAAGGTCAGTTATTGGGTCTGAAAAAAGTATACCTATAGAAATAAGATTTTGGATGCTAAAGTATCTTACAATAGTAAATTAATAGACTCCAGTAAAAACAAATGCAAGACAGCTTGGGCTATAGTTAAGAAAACCTGTAACTTATCATCGAGTGAAAATAAACCGTTGGTTGCACCAAATGTTTTTAATCAATTTTGTGTTGAAGTTGTCGAACAAACAAAAAGAGATATTGTACCACCTTTAGCTACAGCAGTAGAACTTGTTAAAAATGTGAGTTCAGGGCTTAGGCCTAATGGTAAATTGTTTGAGTGGAAACCTGTCACAAATAAAGATGTCCTAAAGGCAGTAGAGCATCTCAGTAACTCGAGCAGTAATGATTATTATAACATGTCAAATAATTTTTTAAAGCAAATAATTCCAAGTATTGTTACCCCTTTTGTAGTTTGCATCAATAGTATTTTACTAGATGGTCACTTTCCAGATGAACTTAAAATTTCTAGGGTTTGTCCTGTTTATAAGAAGGGGCCTAAAGATAAGCCAGAAAGCTATCGTCCTGTGTCTCTTGTGCCTGTGCTGTCAAAAATTATAGAAATAATAGTTTGCAATCAGGTCATCTTGTTTTTAGAGGAAAATGAAATTTTGTACAGTTCTCAGTTTGGCTTTAGAAGGGGCAGGGCTACCCAGGATGCCATGGACGATCTCATTTCCCAAATCTTGCAGGCTTTTGAGGCGAGGTCCTATGCTCAAGTTACCTTCTGTGACTTGAGTAAAGCCTTCGATTGTGTTGATCACTCAGACCTTCTTTCAAAATTGCACTTCTATGGCATCCAGGGGGTTGCCTTGCAACTTTTCGAATCTTATCTAAAGGATAGGAGACAAGTTGTGTATATTGATGGTGTTCAGTCTCAAGAGGTTTATTTGAAATATGGTGTTCCCCAAGGATCAGTTTTGGGCCCTCTGTTATTTTTAATTAGTATTAATGATTTACCTCATGGTGGAAGGAAAAAACATAGGTGTGCTATTCCCACATATTCTGACGTAGCATATTCTGAATAGCACACCTATGTTTTTTCCTTCCACCATGGATTTACCTCATAATGTGCAATGTAGAACCCTTCTTTACGCTGATGACACGACATTTGTTAACACTTCCAGTAACTTGCTGCATTTAAGTAATTTGGTAAATAACTCTATAGAAGAAGCTTCATCTTGGTTTAGAGCTAATGGCTATCTCTTAAATAAAAATAAAACTGAAAATATAGTATTCTCTTTGAGGCCTTATGACCATGAATCTTTAGCTATAGAAACAGCTGTCAGTACCAAGTTTTTAGGTGTATGTGTTGACCAACAGCTTACTTGGAATACTCATATTGATTGTGTTACTACTAGACTTTCTAGAGTTGTTTTCTTGTTGGGGCGTTTGAAATACTGTGTAACTCCAGAATATATCCGGATGGCTTATTTTGCTTTTTTTCAATCAATAATTAAGTACTGCTTGCTTGTCTGGGGCAATTGTTCAAGAATTGAAGAAGTATTAATATTACAAAAAAAAGCTGTTAGAATTATTAATGGTTCAGCTGATCTTGAACATTGTAGGCCTATTTTTATTAAATTAAAGATTTTTACTGTTATTAACCTTTATATTTTAGAACTTGTTATTTATTCTTTAAAAAAACTACCAGTCATGGTCCTGAATGAAGATGTACATCCCTACAATACTCGTGGTAGACATCAAATAAGTTACCAGCACCTCCGTTTGAGCAAATCTTTAAATAGCCATGTTGTTATGTGTAAGAAAGCTTATAATAAGGTAGTTATTAATGTAAATAAGTATCCACAAAAAATATTTTTAAAAAAATTCAGTGACTGGCTCTTAAGAAATCCTTTTTACAGTATTGAAGAGTTCCTAGAACAACCTGTGATAAGTCTGTAACTTTGTATCCAAATCTGTTAATTATTTCTATATAGTCTATTTTTGTTTTCTTCAACTTTGTTAATTGTTCATTTGTTAAATTGTTTTTAGTCTATTGTGATTGTTAACCCTGTAGTTAAAAGGAATTTGTACAACATAGACTCATACCCAAGTTACCTCTGATTATTTGGACAATGAACATGGAAATTTTATGTTCTGCTCCACTGACAATGTCAATGCATGTAAATGTCCATGATAATAAATGATTTGATTTGATTGATTTGATTTGATTTGATTTGATTTGATTTGATTTGAACAACCTTTATCATGGGTAAGCGGTGAGAGTAAAAATGATATTTTATAGTAAAAAACACAAAAGTTTGAATAACTTGTGAACCGTAATTGTTACAGTAATGTTGTGCTACTTTTTTAGAATTATAACATAACATATTATTTTTTATCAAAACCAGCTTATTCTCCAAAAATCCGATTTTTTGTATTGGTTTTTATGGGAAAATTAACATAAGTTACAATAACTTTTGAACCGTAATTTTTACGGAAATGGGAGTTGTACAGTTAGGGGAAGAAAGTAAAAACGTACCACTGTTTTTGCTGGTTTTGTTTCAGAGTTCCGTGTTGTTAGGTTGCCCGTGTGATTGGTTTGTGGGACTTGTCAAATAGATGCAAGATCAAGATGGCGTCATCCTGTTGTTTTGTTGATATGGTTGATAGTATACATAAATATGTCAACATTATAATTGCAGTATAAGTTTATTTATTTATTTTTTTACGAGCAACCCATTTAAACAAGATCTTAACCGATGGTCGTTCCCTAAGTAGCACACATCGTTGGCCCAACGTTGGGTTATGGTCGCCGGTCGGCACGGTTGGGAAATGGTTGGCAGAAATTTTAACGATTTGCCAAGTTGGCCCAACGGAAACTGGTATTCGTTGGCCATACAAAGGAAAGAATCGTTGGGCCTTCGTTGGGTTTAAGTATAAACCATTCTAAAACGCATTTTAACGAATTGATTTATTTAAAAGTAGGCCTACATAAATGTTATGGCAACAGAATATAAGACAAATATTGTAAAAAAATGGATCTATAATAAATATAGTCAGATGATGTTGTGATACTAGATACAGTGGGGAACACCTGCTTAACATATAATAATTCAATTTTTTTTTAACAATATTCTTTAACTTATGTGAGCAATTTTTTAATAGTTATAGGGGAAAGATTAATTAATTATATAACAATCAATTATATCAGTAGCCTCCTATTCTAATGGTAATTAAATAATCTATATTCAAATACTAGTATCCTCTCCAACTACCAGAAAAACAATTCAACTACTTGAGGCCTAAACATATTAACAGAATAGAATCATATTATATTGTAGCATCAAAAATATTTTAAGTACAGAATTGTGACCATTGCACCTGTCGGCTACTCTTAGACCACTTGAAAACACTCAAAATCAACAAGCACATTTAGCTCAGAGGTACGTGAGGCCATATACAAAAAGAAATTCTTTTTGTCTATGGTGGGGCTCACAAGGCGAAGTTACCGGGTTCGAGACCCGCCCCGGCCAAATAATTTTATCTAGTTTTTATTCAAAATTAGTTTTTATGAACTATTTAATCAGTTTACTCAACTGATAATTATGATTTTCATACTAAATCTTTGTTATTTTGTGTGTTAAATCTTTATTACTTTGTCATTTGCCTAAAGTTTATTTTTAGGCCCAATGGGATGGTTGGCCCTTTCGCAAAAATTGGTTGGTTGGCCAACCGTAAGACTGAGTGCCAAAACAAAACATACCGTTGGCCAACGATCGACAGAAACGTTGGGCCAACGATTTTTGCTACTTGGGTCTCAAATACCATAGGGCTAAACCTAAGACTAAACTAATATATCTCCAAACCAGGAAACTTGACTATTTTCACCATTAATCATAGCTTGAAAAGAGGTAAATGTGTTAGTATTTATTTAATATCAAAAACAATCTAAAATGGTTCAAAATAACTTTAAATACACAGGTTTTAACGTGCAATAATTTTTTACAATTATAAAAATTTGAACAAATAGTATTTTGTCCTCTGGAGGCATAAAAATGAAAAATTAATTTGGTCCGAGGCCTAGGTCTTACTGTGCCACCTACAGTAATAGCTTCTTCCCTATAGGGAAATTCACTAAAAGGATATCGGTCCCGGGTCGAGGTCTTACCGTTTCACCTAGGGTAAAAGGGAATAAAATATAGGGAAATTCGATAAAACTAGGTGAAGTGGAAGAGGGATTATCACTAGGGAGGTACAGTAGATTACAGTTAGGTACAGTACCTAAATAAAATCACACACTAAAGCAGTTCATACCTTTTTATTTTTACTACTTGTATAAAAATTAACAAACATTTAAAAATCAATATATAAGTTTGATTATGGGAGATATGTAATTTATATTGTAGGTTTATCCTAATTCAAGATTTTATGTGGACTCAATACATAAATCCACCTCATGTTATCAATAAAATATATTACAGTAAAATTGATAAATCCACACTACATACGGGTTTTCTGGATTAAGGCAATGCACAATAATAACATAATAGCTCTGGAAAGAACCTCGACCCTCTGCATTACATCAAAGTTCTCAGTTGTCATAAATATATATAAGAATAAAAATTTATCTAAAGAAATAAACAGTCTTAGATACAACCTTTGATACAATCATTGACTATTGGTTACCGTAAAACCGGTACTGAAGTTGTATTGATAGTCAAAGATACAACTAAGCATTGTAAAACAACATGAAATTAACAGTTGTTAAATGTTAAATAAACATTTGTGGTGTCTCTCCAGTGTGTACTAATGTATGTTTCTTCATTTGGTTACTGGTTGTGTTGTGAAGGATTTTCTACATGTAGTGCTTAAGCGGCCACTCTCCGGTGTGTACTAATGTATGTTTCTTCATTTGGCTACTGGTTGTGTTGTGAAGGATTTTCCACATGTAGTGCTTAAGCGGCCACTCTCCGGTGTGTACTAGTGTATGTTACTTCATTTTCCTGTTGGTTGTGAAGGATTTTCCACATGTAGAGCTCTTTGTGGTCTCTCTCCAGTGTGTACTAATGAATGTCTCTTCATACTGCCACTGGTTGTAAAGGATTTTCCACATGTAGTGCATCTATGAGGTCTCTCTCCGGTGTGTACAAATGTATGTTTCTTCAAATCGCCACTGGTTGTAAAGGATTTCCCACATATAGTACACTTATGAGGTCTCTCTCCGGTGTGCACTAATGTATGAATCTTCATAATGCTCTTGGTTTGGAAGGATTTTCCACATGTAGTGCATCCATGAGGTCTCTCTCCGGTGTGTACTAATGTATGAATCTTCACATCCTTTTTGTCTTGGAATGATTTTCCACATGTAGCACACTTATGTGGTCTCTCTCCAGTGTGTACTAATGTATGTCTCTTCATATCTTTTTTAGTTTGGAATGATTTTCCACATGTAGTACACTTATGAGGTCTCTCTCCAGTGTGTACTAATGTATGAATCTTCATACTGCTCCTGGTTTGGAAGGATTTTTCACATGTAGTACACTTATGAGGTCTCTCTCCGGTGTGTACTAATGTATGAATCTTCATACTGCTCCTGGTTTGGAATGATTTCCCACATGTAGTACAATTATGAGGTCGCTCTCCGGTGTGTACTAATGTATGAATCTTCATACTGCTCCTGGTTTGGAATGATTTTCCACATGTAGTACACTTATGAGGTCTCTCTCCGGTGTGTACTAATGTATGAATCTTGATATTCTTTTTGGTTTGGAATGATTTCCCACATGTAGTGCACTTATGAGGTCTCTCTCCGGTGTGTACTAATGTATGCATCTTCATACTGCCACTGGTTTGGAATGATTTTCCACATATAGTGCACTTATGAGGCCTCTCTCCTGTGTGTACTAATGTATGTCTCTTCATATTTATTTTGGTTTGGAATGATTTTCCACATGTAGTGCACTTATAAGGACGCTTATCAGAATGAGTCAACAAATGATTCTTTACTTGAATTAGATTAGTAAATGTTTTCTCACATGTCAAACATCTAAAGGGACGCTCATCTGTGTGTAAATATATATGACACTTCATTTTTGATAGAGTTGAAAACATTTTTCTACATATTGGGCACTTAAGGCGAGGCTTTTTAGTGACCTTAAACATTTTTTTGCATTCAATTTCTGACATAACTTATCAGACAATCTAGAAACTAATTAGAATTAGTGAACTGGCTTTGTGAGTATATTTTTGTAGGATTTGGGGTTTAAAAGTTATGTATATCAATATAATTTGATGAACTTTTTGCTCAAATATTGTTATGTTTATTAAAACAATACAACATAGCCTACTTGAGGCATTTTTCTTTACTTTCATAATCAATCATATCAAATTAGTTGAGAAGAAAGAGTGATTTCTATGTTTCATGTTGTTTTTAAATAATATTGCATCAGCCATTAATTACAATTCAAGTTTTTAGCAAATTACTTACTTTTATTTGTACTTTTAGTGTAGTAAAAAGTTTATCTTTTCAACTGTTGTTTTAAGTATCTTTCATACTTTGCAGATTAAGGTAATTAACTTTTTTGCTACATGAATTGAAGTTCCTTTTCTTCTCCAAATCTATTGCCTCTTCTGAAAAAGATCATATTTTATTAAATTTATACATTTGTTGTAATCATTTAGATAGATTGCTTGTTCTTAAGTTAGTCTAAGTCTAAACAATAATTTCAAATCAATACTAAAATTTATACTAAATCCATAGCACTATTATAATGCAAAATGAGGATCATAAATGGAATGAAATGAAATGAAAAGAAATTTAATTAAATAAGCTTTATTGTCTTTTGAATTTGTACAAATTATCGACAATGTCAAGAAACAGCTAAAATTAAAGCATAGTCAGTTAATTAAATAATAAAATACTTATAGCTAACTAAACGGTATTATGATCATGAGTATGGTTTCTAAATTTTAAAAGATGTTGATTTTCCAATATATAAACTATTAAAGTCATAAATATAAACGTATATTTATAAAAATATTTATAAATATATTTATAAAATATATTTATAAAAATAGTAGGGATTTGAAGATTTTGAAAAAGTGGTTTGCTGTGGTCTCTCGAGACTTTATTAGAGATAACTCTAACCGCTTTCTTTTGCCAAACAAGAATTTCCTCTAGCCTAGCACAATTGCCCCAACAAATTAGCCCATACCTGAAAATGGATTGAAAATATGAAAAATGTGCCGTTCGGACATAATTTAGTGGAATGCATTTTTTCAGATGGCCTGGTAAAAATATTACACGAGAAAGTCTGGTATTTAAATAGTCTATATGAGAATCCCATGTTAGCTGACTATCTACATATATTCCCAAAAACTTTGCTGAAAAAACTGTACCACCCTTATCACTGTTCTCAAACAACTCCCTTGAATTATAATTTAAGGAAAATATAAATTTTTGTGATTTTACTTTGTTAAGCAAAAGTCCATTAGGCTACTATGAAACCAATTTTGTGCATTATTTAATGTTTCATCAGCCAATTTTTCAAGTTCTTTATAGTTTTTACTAGTAGATAAAAAGGTAGAGTCATCTGCGTACAGAATGGTTTTACAATCAACAGAAGAGGGTAGATGCGTACAGAATGGTTTTACAATCAACAGAAGAGGGTAGATCATTTAATATAGATTAAGAAAAGAAGGGGACCGAGGACTGAACCCTGTGGCACTCCTCACTCGACTGACACTTCATCTGACCATCTTCCTTTTTTTTCAAACTGCTTGTTTCCGATTTTGCAAGTAGCTTCTTAAAAAAGATAATGGAGGGCCATCAAATCCATAGTACTTTAATTTAGAGATGAGAATATTGCTGTCAATAGAGTCAAACGCTTCACTGAGGTCACAGAAGGTGGCCTGAGCATAAGTTTTATTTTCGAAAGAGGTATGAACTTGCCTGACTAGATCGTCCAATGCATTGAGAGTGGATTTTCCCTTTCTAAAACCGTATTGGTTGTTGTTCAAGATGTTGTTTATTTCAAAATAATATCTGATTTGATCGCAATTTAAAAATTATTTTGTTCTTGAAATTTTTTCCGTAAACCCACTCGTTTAGGAGTTACAGCCTATGAAAAAGATACTTCCGGTGTACATTTAACATCATTTAGCCCTCAAACGAGTAAGTTTAGAGCAAAAATGTGAAGAGTAAGTAAATCTTAAAATTGCATCTTAAAGTGCAATTAAAAATAATTTAAATTTTTTTTTGTGGAAAGTAAATAAACAATAAACAATACAATAAACAAAATTAGAAGATATAAAAGAGGAAAACACCAGATATGTCACATTTAGCTACACAGGGACTACAACACAAACAACTGCTAACAAATTCAAGAAGTACGGAGTTTCAATAGCCTACAGGACTCAGAACACCATGAGTAAAATACTGCATCCAAAAATAGAAGATTGTAACAAATTCGACGTTTCGGGCATCTAAAAAATCAATTGTAATGATTGTTATAACTTCTACATTGGACAGACTGTAAACTTCGTCAACTGCTTCAAAAACCACATATCTGCATGGAGGAACAACAAACCGGAAAGGCGGAAAGATCAAATGTTGCACAATACCTGTTACAAAATGGCCACTAGCTGTTATAAAATTAACAGCTGTTTTATTAAAAAGTATTATCCACATGACCAAAATGTAAACAAATCTGTCGAGGGATCTTTAAAGGCTTCTGGGGCAGAGCCCTAAGCGAATTTACGTAGTTTTTCTTTTGATAACTTATCTAGAGACCAAGACCTTTCTTTGGACACCTCCACCAAGTTTCTACGCCCAGCCGTTCTCTCAAATTAGTGGAGACAAAGTTTCCAAATAAATATTTAGATTCCCCCATGTTAATCTTATGGGAGAAAATCCAACTTTGATGGAAGATCCTGCCCAAACTTATAAAGATATCAAAAAACTAAAAACACTTTGCAAAACTACAGATCAGGGCAATTTCTTTGACACTTTTATCACCAAAATCGGTCCAAAAATGAGGGAGGAGTTCTGTTCACAAAAATCGGCTTAGCGTATTATATATATAGATTGATTGTGTGAGGGTGGACTCAAGGTCCAAGCACGTCAACCGAAGCTTATTGTGCAAATATATATAGATAGATGTACACTTATACTGTCTTGTGAGTAACAGTATAAGCGTAAATATATATTTTAAGTGTTATAATACGTTTCTTTTATTCACTTTCTGTAAATTTAATAACACGTACAATGCTGATCAAGAAGTTATTTAGTTTTTTATAGAAAACCATTTATTTCTAAACGGTATTAAACTAATTAAATGATTTTTTCTACAAAACAAAATAAAAACGCTCAAGGAATAGATATTTTAATAGGGGAAAATGAAATAAAATAAATTAAATTTCCAATTTGTAGGAGTTGAAGTTGACAATAATCTTAGTTGGCACCAACATACACTAAAATTGGCAAACAATTAAAATTGCATCGGGTATATATATGTTCTTAGAAAAATGTCTTTTTAGCGAATTTCCCATATAGGGAATAAGCTATTACCGTAGTACTCATGGTAAGACCTGGACGCGGGACCGGTTTTTTTTCGTTTTGAGGTCCCTAGAGGCCAAAAACACCATCCGTTCAAATTCATATATACATATATATATATATATATATACTGTATATATATATGTGTCCGTCAGCACGATAACTCGAGCAAAAATGATCCGATTTTGATGAAATTTGGTACAAACGTGTAAACGTACGTTTTTTCGAACGAGTTCGCGATCCAGCATGATCGGACCATGGGAACGGGGGTTTACGGGGGGTTTTATGGGGTAAAAATAGGTTTTTCCCATTTTTGACCCAAAAAACATAAAATTTAGCAATTTCTTTCCAAACCATTTTGTAGAGCTTAAAAAACAAATAATTTAGTATATTGAAGCGTTATTATGCGCCTAATGGTTACGGAGAAAATTCCAAAAAATTGTAAATTTAAAATTCCCATGTTATTCTTATGGAGAATAAGTAAACTGTTGTAGTTTGCTTGTTTGTGAACATATTTTGATCAAATTTGGAAAATGTATTTATTTCTTACTAACTATTCACATTTTACAAAAAAAAAAACAAAAAAAAACAGTTTTACCCTCCCTGATGCAGCAAACCTGAGTACTTGTTAAACTAATTCTATTTAAATCAAGAATAAATGTTATATTTTTAAGTAGACATTTCAGTGTAAATCCAATCAGTCAAATGGAAATTTGCTTGGTCTGCAGGTTTGCTGCGGCGGGAGTATTTTATGTAGTCTTGACACTTAAAAACTATATTTATTTCACACATAACCACTCTCACATATCTTTGGGGTACCGGTAATTGTTTATGGCGATACAAGTAAAGGCAACCTAGACACAATCTTGATATTTCAGAAGGAAGCTTTGAGAATTATATCAAATCTACAAGACAAAATATCAGTGAAAAATAAATTTTCTCAGCTTAATATTTTTACAGTTTATGACCAATATATCCTTGAATGTATAATGTGTCTAAGAAAAAAATATAATGAATTAGATCTGCGCAGTAGTATTCATTCTCATAATACTAGACATACAGGGCCGGATTTCCCAATAGGCCCGGGCCTATGGGCGCAAGGTCCCAGAGGGCGCACGGCCAAGAATATATTTTTTTTAAATACCTAGGCTATCTAAAAACAAAAATAAATAGTCATAGTTGATTAAAAAAAACTCCAATGCATTGTGATTCTGAAGTTCATAAGAAAAAATAATAGTTAGGAAATTTAAACTATTTTTCAGAATTACGCATCGATTTCGTTAAAAAATTGGTAACTAACATTGGTTATATGGGAGTAGGCTGTATTAGGGATGTTGACGTTGGCGAGCGCCCAAGGGGTACGCATCGTATTTGCCACTGCACTGCCACTATGCTGGCTCGGGCTCGGTACTACTGTACCTCGTACTACTGATCTGAGTGATTAGGGGCGCATTCGTGCTAGACATTATTACCACCCTCACCTCACAAAACAAAAAATATTAACTAATCCTTTGATTAGTTTACAACAATCTGCAGAATCAAGTAAAAATATATAATAAGTTGTGTTGAATATTAAAACAATGATGAATTCACCTTTAAAATAAACGACAAAATACTAATCTCAGTTTTGCATTAGATTTTAGAACAATTCAATACTCTACAAAGCACCATTAATAACGCTGTCATTTTCTCCTCAGACCTCAGGAGGATCGGTACGGTTGGCCGGAATATTAATCTGTTTTGTTTGGAAATATAACTAACCTAGATGCAGTACGACCATAGATTATATTTAACTCAAGTCAACTTCTTATGAAATTGATAATTCAAAATTTGTTTTTGTCTAGTTCGGTTCATGTTGGTGACACTGGACGTTAGTTTTGACGTAGTTTTGTTTATATTATTTTAGGGTTAGTTCTATGATGTGTGTTTCAATTTCTTGTAATATAAACAGGAGACGACCTATTGTTGATGATTAGATCGTTTTATTGTGGATAAACTAGGTTTGAACATAGATAAAACATACTCCTTAAATAACAAGAATTGTTTTCAGCTAATCCAAAATGATTACAAATCTACTAAAGGAGTATGTTTAATCTATGGTATCACGTACTGTATGGAGTTAATGTTTTTGGGCCTGGAATTGAAATCAATGGCCATTTTTTTTTCAGGAATGCTCGGTTGGTTTAGTTGTTTTATTTCAGTCCCATGGCCACAAACGTGAGCATTTATTAAAAACATAAAATTGCTAAAAGTGTTTAAGACGGCATTTTGTTAAGGCTAAACAAGTCAATTCTTTAAAAATTTCTATGATTCCAACGAGGAGTGGTATTCAAGCAATTAACTTAGGCCTATGGGCATGATGTAGTTTTTAATAAAGGTTGAAGGAAAGTTACTGTGACCAGACTAGGGGGCGGAAAATTTTTTGGGCCTAGGGGTGCAAAAATGCTAAATCCGGCCCTGTAGACATAAGAACAAATTAAACGTAACCCAGCTTACGTTTTACGTTTTTTACGTGGCTTAGGTTTTTAAATAAAAAAGCTAGGTACCAGTACTCATTTTGGCTCTAAATGTTTGAATCATTTACCTGAAAATGTAAAAAGCAAAATTAATACCGTAACCAAAACTTTAAGCATCTGATTAAAGATGAATTTTTTTTAAAGGAAGAATTTTTGATTCTAGTTGATTCTTTGAGATGCTCAGAGGTATATATGTAAATGTATTTACTTCATGTAATTTAACTTAGCATGTAAAAATTCTTAAGTATTGTTTTGTGTCTTTTTTCAGTAGGTTAAATCTAGTAAGTTGATTGATGGATTATTTCAATTAATTTTAAGGAGCTTTGAGAGAGCTTTGATGTAATTTACTATAAGATTATCATTATTTTACCTTATTGTGATACTATTTATATATACACTATTTTGTATAAACAAGATAAAAAAATAAATTTGACTATGACTATGTAGTACACTTATAAGGCCTCTCTCCGGTGTGTACTAATGTATGTTTCTTTATATCGCTACTGGTTTGGAAGGATTTTCCACATGTAGTGCGATTATGAGGTCTCTCTCCGGTGTGTACTACCGTATGTTTCTTCATATGGCTCCTGGTTTGGAATGATTTTCCACATGTTGTGCACTTTGTTGTCTCTCTTCGTTGTGTACTACTGTATGTTTCTTCATATGGCTCCTGGTTTTGAATGATTTTCCACATGTAGTGTGATTATGAGGTCTCTCTCCGGTGTGTACTACTGTATGTTTCTTCATATGGCTCCTGGTTTGGAATGGTTTTCCACATGTTGTGCACTTTGTGGTCTCTCTTCGTTGTGTACTACTGTATGTTTCTTCATATGGCTCCTGGTTTTGAATGATTTTCCACATGTAGTGCGATTATGAGGTCTCTCTCCGGTGTGTACTACTGTATGTCTCTTCATATGGCTCCTGGATGAGAAGGATTTCCACATGTAGTGCACTTTGTGGTCTCTCTCCAGTGTGTACTAATGAATGTTTCTTCATATGGCTCCTGTTCTGGAAGGATTTTCCACATGTAGTGCACTTATGTGGTCTCTCTCCAGTGTGTACTAATGAATGTCTCTTCATATTGTTCCTGTTCTGGAAGGATTTTCCACATGTAGTGCACTTATGAGGTCTCTCTCCGGTGTGTACTAATGTATGTTCTTTCACTCTGCTCCTAGTTGGGAAGAATTTTCCACATATAGTGCACTGATGAGGTCTCTCTCCGGTGTGTACTAATGTATGAATCTTCATATAGCTCCTGGTTTTGAAGGATTTTCCACATATAGTGCACTTATGAGGCCTCTCTCCGGTGTGTACTAATGTATGTTGTTTCATATGGTCACTGGTTGAGAATTTTTTTCCACATGTAGTGCACTTATAAGGACACTTATCATAATGAGTCAGTATATGATTCCTTACCTGATAAAGATAAATAAATGTTTTATCACAAGTCAAACATCTAAAGGGACGCTCGCCTGTGTGTAAATATATATGACTTTTCATTCTTGATAGAGTTGAAAACATTTTTCTACATATTAGACACTTAAGGAGAGGCTTTTTAGTGATCTTTAACATATTTAGTTTTCAATTTCTGACTTCTACTTTTTAGATAAACTAGAAAGTAATAGGAATTAGTCAAATGGCTTGGTTTGTCTATTTTTGAAGAATTTAGTTAATGTTTAACAGTTATTATTCAAACCTTATCAACTTTTGCTCAATGTTATGTTTATTAATTATCATACAACATAGCTTACTTGAGTCATTTTGCTTTTTTGTCTTGACTTTATGTTCCATCATGTTAAATTAGCCTACTCATTTAAAAATAACAAAGTGGCTTTTATGTTTCATGTTGTTTTTAAATAATAAATATTGCATAAGCTATAAATAAAAGTTATGTATAATTTAATTTAACTTTTTATCTGTTGTTTAAGGTATCTTTAATACTTTACAGATTAGGTGAATTATCTCTCTTGTGACATGAATTGAAGTTCTTTTTCTTCTTCAAATCTATTGCCCCTTCTGAAAAAGACCACATTTTATCAATTTTATACATTTTCGTAATAATTTAGATTGTTTTTAGCGAATTTCCCATATAGGGAATAAGCAATTACAGTAGTACTCATAGCAAGACCGGGACCCGGGACCGATTTACTTTTTCGTTTTGAGGTCCCTAGAGGCCAAAATTACCATCCATGCAAATTCATATGTATGTACAGTATAAATATACAGGGTGAAACAAAGTTAGTGTTAAACATTTTCATGTGTTAAACTACCAAGTATTAGTGACAAAACGGCACCAATTTAAGTTTCCAAACCCTCACAAGTAAACTAAGTAAACACAGTAACAGACAAAAGAAGTTTTTTTTTCAAAATATTTATATTTTCTTAGATCAAATGACCATAAGTGCACTAAATATTGCTTTTATTTCAACGGCATTGTATTTTGAGAGAACGGCTGGGCGTAGAAACTCGGTAGAGGTGTCTAAAGAAAGGTCTTGGTCTGTAGATGAGCCATCAAACGAGAAATATGGTTAATTCCCTTGGGGCTCTGCCTCCGTGGCCTTTAAATTCCCATCCCATGTTATTCTTATGGAGGAAAACGGGGTTTTTGTCACAGCTAATTTGAGAGAACGGCTGGGCGTAGAAACTTGGTAGGGGTCTCTAAAGAAAGGTCTTGGTCTGTAGATGAGCCATCAAAAGAGGAAAGAGGTAAACTCCCTTGGGGCTCTGCCCCAGAAGCCTTTAAAGTTGCCTCTTCAGATTTGTTTACATTACGACCATATGCATAATTCTACACTACTTTTTAATGCAACAGCTGTTAATATTTAAATTGTGATTTATTGAATTTGTCAAAATGAAGTAACAGTATTTGCAATGGATTTTTCTGATTTTAAAATTGATTGTCTTCTGCATCGTGTCATGTTTTGCAATATAATGTCCTATTACCAAATGAGTGGAAAATCCTAATATCACAGTAACTTTTAAAATTATTTCTTATGGAGTTGACTTATAGGTATCTATTGTATGGCTTGGTTTCTGCCTTTTTTTACCACTTCTTGGAGATTGTGCGTAGGTGATATTCTTTGGCATATTGCATCTGTAGACGAAACTTGGGTTGGTGTAATTATTACAATGGATAATAGCGATAAATCCTAACTAATTTGATATAGGCTAAAAACAAAACTGAATTAACACTGTGCTAAATTTCTTGAGCAATCATTGAAATAACCGATTTGCAAACAATGGAAACATAGAAAAATTCATAGAACACAACCAAGTAAAATAAATAGAAATATTGTTTATTTTACACTAAAAACACTAAAAAAACAAGATCAGCTTTTTGAAAAAAATAAGATATTTACAAAAGTTTTTGATTTTATCTAACTGTTGTGTAGATCGTGAGTATTTCCGTAATCTTTGAGTCGCATGCTTCGCAATTGCTCGAATTCGAGCAACAGGTACACTAGTCTAAATATTAATTTGAAACTGTTTTTCTTTGTCATGGCTATTTTGAGAGAACGGCTGGGCGTAGAAACTCAGTAGAGGTGTCTAAAGAAAGGTCTTGGTCTGTACATGAGCCATCAAAAGAGAAACATGGTGAATTCCCTTGGGGGCTCTGCCCCAGTGGCCTTGAGTTCCCATCCCATGTTATTCTTATGGAGGAAAACGGGGTTTTTGTCACAGCTAATTTGAGAGAACGGCTGGGCGTAGAAACTTGGTAGGGGTCTCTAAAGTAAGGTCTTGGTCTGTAGATGAGCCATCAAAAGAGGAAAAGATTTTGATTATATCTAACTGTTGTGTAGATTGTGAGTATTTCCATAATCTTTGAGTCGCCTGTAATGCAATTGCTGGAATTCGAGCAACAGGTACACTAGTTATTCTAATTTAAATACCCTAATATCAGGTACTTCCCCAAGTCACATTTTGGTAGACTTTTTTTTGTGTTGTGTGGAGGTATAAAAGTATTGAAATCCGTTGAAAAACCTTTTGAAACAATTTTGTCGAACTTCCACACTCAATGACTGGACTATAAACCGATGGTCGTTCTCAAATGCCATAGGGCTAAACCTAAGACTAAACTAATATCCCCAAACCCGGAAACTTGACTATTTTCACCATTAATCATAGCTTGAAGAGAGGTAAATAAGTTAGTATTTATTTACTATCAAAAACAATCTAGGCTATAATGTTTCAAAATAACTTTAAATACACAGGTTTTAACGTGCAATAATTTTTTACAATTATAAAAATTTGAACAAATAGTCTTTTGTCCTCTGGAGGCATCAAAATGAAAAATTAAATTGGTCCAGGGCCTAGGTCTTACTGTGCCACCTACAGTAATAGCTTCTTCCCTATAGGGAAGTTCACTAAAAGGATATCGGTCCTGGGTCGAGGTCTTACCGTATCACCTAGAGTAAAAGGGAATAAAATATAGGGAAATTCGATAAAACTAGGTGAAGTGGAAGAGGGATTATCACTAGGTAGGTAGATTACAGTTAGGTACAGTACCTAAATAAAATCACACACTAAAGCAGTTCATACCTTTTTATTTTTACTACTTGTATAAAAATTAACAAACATTTAAAAATCAATATATAAGTTTGATTATGCGAGATATGTAATTTATATTGTAGGTTTATCCTAATTCAAGATTTTATGTGGACTCAATACATAAATCCACCTCATGTTATCAATAAAATATATTACAGTAAAATTGATAAATCCACACTACATACATTTTTATATAACCTGTACAGATGATGAGTTTTAATGAACTGCTGTAATAACCGGTCTAGGTACTAAGTGGGAGGACAATTTAACACGTAAAAATACTATAATATATTCTTAAAAATGGACATACAATTAAAAACCTAACAAATGCTTGACATAAGTGGGTTTTCTGGATTAAGGCAATACACAATAATAACATAATAGCTCTGGAAAGAACCTTGACGCTCTGCATTACATTAAAGTTCTCAGTTGTCATATGTATATAAGAATAACAATTTATCTAAAGAAATAAACAGTCTTAGATACAACCTTTGATACAAACATTGACTATTGGATACTGAAGTTATATTGATAGTCAAAGATACAACTAAGCATTGTAAAACAACATGAAATGAACAATGAAGTTTTGTATATTTGCCATGTTTTACTTTATATTATTATTTCTAAGTATAGACTCCTTCTTATCCGGACACCTTTTAACCGGACATCGGTTTAACCGGACTACATTTGGCGGAAATGACATCTCTTTAACCGGACAATTTTTATCAGCATATCGGTTTAACCGGACTAGATCGGCAGGAAGTGGGCGGTACTGAAACGACTGTTCTCGTGGGAAAGATTTGAGACCAGTGATCGCGTGTCTAAATAAAATGCTCTCCTAAATTTCAGTCAAATACTGTATACAGTATGCATTAAGACGGTCCGTTTTAACTAATTTTTGGGGACGTCAGTTTAACTGGAAAAAACTTTATCTGGACTGGCCTTGATCCCGAGGAGTCCGGATAAGAGGGAGTCTACTGTACTAGCAACCTAGGTCACTTTGTGACTTCAAAATCCATTATATATTTAATATCTACATAGTTTTTATGGGTGAAAACAATTTTTTTCATCATATCCCTATTATTTTCATTGCGTGCACGATCTCTTCAAGGCATCTTAGAAAAGTACAAATATTAATTAAACATAATATGAAAACACAATACCCCCGCCGCAGCAAACCTGCAGACTAAGCCAATTTTTATCTAGGTGAGTGGAATTCCACTAAATTATTCCCTTAAAATTGTCAGATTTATTTCCTATTTAAATATCATAAATTTAAACGAGTACTTAGGTTTGCTGCTACAGGGAAGAAAATAGGGGTTTTTTTATTGAAATATCGATAGCTTAGTATGAAGTTAACAAAATTTCATTAAAATATGTCCATGGTATTTTAGGTGATGCCTGAATTCAGTTTTTGACGATAACTTGAGTAAGTTTTGTCCGATTTTGATAACATTTGGTTTGAAGGTGTAAGGCGGAATAAACTTGAATGAGTTCGCGAGCCAGTATGATCGGACCATGGGAACCAGGTTTAACGGGGGGTTTTACTTGGGGTAAAAATGGGTTTTTCTAATTTTTTACCCTTAAAACACAAAATTTATCAATTTTTCTCCAGACCTCATTAAAGAGCTTAAAAAAAACAAATAATTTAGTATATCAAAGTGTTTTTGTACGGTGATTGGTTACCAAGAAAAATAACAAATTATTAATTTAAAATTCCCATATTATTCATATGGAGAATACTGTAAAATGTTGTAGTTGGCTTGTTTATGGATATATTTTGATCAAACTTTGCGGATTTATTTATTTCATACTAAGCTATTGATATTTTTATTAGTTTATTAGTTTCCCTGTAACAGCTAACCTAGGTACTCGTTAAACATAAATTTTATTTTAATCGATTAATTGAATATCAATCCATGCAAATAGAAATTCGCTTAGTCGGCAGGTTTCCTGCAGTGGGGGTATTTTGAGCAATCATTGAAAGAGCCGATTTGCAAACTATCGAAACATAGGAGAGTCATAGAATACCACCAAGTAGAAGGAATAGAAATAATGTTTTTTTTTTTAGAATTTGTATTATGGACAGCTTAATGCGGCTATGAAATGGGAACATTTGTAGAAAACACTAAAAAATCAGATCAGCTTTTGAAAAATGATAATATATATGCAAGAAATGTTGATTATATTGAACTGTTATGTACACCGTGAGTATTTCCATAATCTTTGAGCCGCCTATTTTAAAGTCATCAGAAATTATGACTGTTATTGGTTTTAAAATAACGCCTGTTATACTTCGCAATTGCTCGAAATTGAGCATCGGGTACACTAGTCACATACTAACTACCGGTCTGCTTTTAGATTGCTCTCTAGTATGAACTGGAATGCTCTCTGGTATGCAAAGGAATTTCTTCATTCAGTACACTTATGGGATAACTCTCCTGTGTAAATGAATGTTTCTTCATTAT